TAAAAGAAATTAGTGTTCTAACTTTAAAAATACTACTCTTTAATGAATATTTTTAAAACCAACTATTAAATTTAATGTTCCCTTGATGTGGATGGTTGCATTTAGAATTTTTGTGAAGTGTCGTGGTTATAACTGTAATTGTGATTGTGGTTATGCTGAACTGTATTGTGTTGTAATTGTGGTTAAAAGTTATTTTGGTATTTGGTTATTTATTTTTAAAAAGTATTATAAATGAAATATGATATATTTTATTAATTATTGATTAAAATTTAAAAAATTATTGTAAGATATATAATTATTAAAATAGATAATATTTACTACTTTTCAATAATTTAAATGTTTTAAAATTGTTATAATTGTTAAAATATTATAAATTATGATATAATTAAATTATATGAATTGGATTTTAATGAGTAATTTTATAATTATATTAAATATTATGTGTTCTCTATAAAAGCCATAACCAGAAAGCTCTAAAACGAAATTTCTAACTTTATATATAAAGTTACTATAGATTTATTATAGCTTTCTACAATTTTTAGAAAAAACAATACGAAAAAAAATTACCAAACACACATATATATAAAAGTATTGTACAATGACACGAAAGAGTTTTTAATTGCAATGTCAAATGCATCCTAAGTATATTAATTTTTAAATGACTTAATATTTATAATTATTTGATTAAAAAACTTATATTTTTTAATATATATTTAACAATAATAAATTTTTTACAATCAATAAACCAATTACATCTATTTAATCAATTTAAAATTTGATATGCATAATTTATATGAATAAAATATTAAATCTAATGGTTAATTTTTGAAAGTATTCATTGGAGGATAGTGTTTTTAAAGTTTTGATTCTCATTTTTATTAAAAGTTAAAACTGATATTATAATTGCAACAAACCAAGTAACTTTTTTCCGTCCAAGTCTTTTCTTCGGGATGACCTGCAAAGGTCTGAAGTGGATTTTCGAGGTAGACACTCCAATGCTTAAGTCATCAATAGTTTGGTCTACCTTTAAAAATTATGGAAAAAGTAACTTTAGGTCGATTTCAATTACCTTTTTGAGGTGGCCCCTAGGGGTATTTATAGGTTTTAATGAGGTATCCACGTGACTTACTTAACAAGATAATCGGAGTCTAATGTGTCCATTCAGGCGATGATCTCAGGGATACAAGATTGGGTGCAAACATTCCTACTTTAGCTGTCATGCAACTGTATGATCGAGAAGAGCTGAACTTACGAGTTATTTCGGTCATTAAAGAAATGTGGTGGTATGTCGGAAGTCCTTAACCTCGGACCTATCCTTACAAATATACAATATCTTCTTTTAAATAAATAAAAAAAACAGTTATAATATTTGTTGAGACAGCTCAACAGATATATAAACAAGATAAAAAATGAAATTAACGACTTGTTGGTCTGAGTGAAAGGAGTTCGGTTCCTCTTAAGCAAGTTCTTGAGTTCAAGTCTTATGAATGGAGAAATAGACGCTGGGAGAGCTTACCCCCTAATGAGGTCCGATGCGACTTGATTCCAGATTAATCGGAACCCAATGTGGTTATCAAATATCGGGAGGTTAATACCAAAAAAAAAAAAAAAAAAAAAAAAAAATAAAAAATGATGTTTTGTGTAATTAAATAAATTTGTTGAACCTTTCGTTAAGTTTTTCTGCTCCCTCGTCTTGACATTTAGAATTTTTCCTTTTAGGGGAAGAGAATTTTTTTTTCCCAGTTTAACTTTATTACTCATCTCTTGAGTTATCTGTTCAATTGTAAAAAGATCTCTCTTTATCTTTATCATTTTCCACGAGTAACACTACTAAAAATATAAATTATCTCTAAATTT